TCGACTTTCGCCCCCAACAAAACGCAGCACATCAGTGAGGAGGGGGATTTGGTATCGGTAATACCGATTTACCGTCGGTATTTACCGATACCGTTTCCGGTAAACCGACACCCCCAACCTTCCCCTCGACTACCGATACCGCCGGTAAACGGTTCGGTATAACGGTAAACCGTTTACCGGATTACCGAATCCCACCCCTAGTTAAGTAAGTATTTACCCCCAAAAATAGCAAGAAACCAGGTATATATTTTTTCCTCGAAGCATTATGGTTGCAGATGGATTTCACCAAGTGATTGAAGCAATAGGATGCCCAATTCTTCTTCGTAATGTCTGCTACAACGGAGACGGTGTATTCCGAAGATTAGGAAATATCATCTCTTCTGGTAGGTACTAATAGCACCCCCATTATGTAAAATATAACATATTGCACATATAGATCGCTGCTATCTTTTGAATCACCCAACGTCTTTCGCATTACACTTGTGCAAATCGCCAATCGGCCACAATCAAGAGTCGAATAAACTCTAAATGCATCAAATTCGTCAGATCTCCCTACCACTTCTTCACCATCCAAGACGATATAAGTCCCACCCTCTGGTACACCCATAATTCACTCAAAATCTTTGGCCGAAATATTCACCTTCAACCCATGCGCTTGAATTGTGCTCTCTTTCAGATTAAAGCTCCTTATGAGTTCTTCCAACAACTCACGCTTTAGCATTTTGCCCTTGACTTCATGCATCCAACCAAAGCCACAACTATTAATGACCTCTACTTGACATTCTTGTAACCTTGAGACTAGGGAGAATCCTTTCCTTGGAGAAAATTGTGCGCTAAACAGGTGATGGCTCTTCGTCTTCATTATAAAATAATTTCAACAAAATGCAAAATTAAAATACCAAAATGAAGATATAAGAAACTCATTGATTGACTAAACTGTTAATCACAAAACAAAGACTTTCATTAAGAAAGAAGCATAATAGTATATCTAACTGGTAGCACTGATGGAAACCACTCAAGTTCATAATATACCAAAACTGAACCTAGCCACCAGAAATGAGTCAACAAAAAAGGATAATAAATTCTTTAAACTCCATCTGCATGCATCAAAGTCTACCAAAGAACCGCAAAGAGAGCACTAAGCACTCTGAAATTGAAACAGAAAGCAACACAAACTCCACTGGCTATGACAACTTATGGAAGACTGCCATAAGAACAACAACTAAAGACAAGCACATCATGATTAGAGAATGCATTACTAAGATTCAATTACTAAAACCGGTTCTCAAGAGTTCAATTACTCTAGTAATTTATAGGTAGCTCACATCCATACTAACAATGCAAGTAGCACTTGTTCTATCATCATTTCCCAAATAAACACAGTGGAAACCAATGTTAGTGTTTTAGTGGAGAATGTTGAATGTATTATCTTCTAAAGACCTCTCCACAAACGAGGACAAAATTTAAGTCATGTCAAATATCATAGCAGCATATCCAAAATCTTGCAGCATCTTAATGACTTAATATAGTTCATCATAAAAAGATCATATGTGTTGTCTACATCCTAATACTTATATGGAGTGCACCCATGAAAGTCCATGCTGGAAGCTGTTTACCTAGCTTACTCTCTACTAATCGTTTTCCCCTAAAAGATTAAAATAAGGCAGTAGTACAAGCTCCATAAGGTAAATTCAATTTTTCATCAAGTTAGTTATCTCAAAAACAAGTAAGAAGAGTCCACTATTAAATTAGTAACTAGTAGTTCATGTTCTTGATTAATACATTTGCTGGCAGAGGAGCTAACTGTAAGCAGAGAAGGAACAGATTGTTCCCAACAAAATCTACTCTATACCTAACACAAGGATGCTTCACATAGGAGTCAAATCATACAAAGGATATTTCACGAAGCTACAAAATAGATTGTACCTAGCAAAATTTGTTCTAGAACAGATTACACAAATTAATAGAGAATCAATAGGGTTTGAGGTAGAATCCATAGAAAAAATAATTGGGTTGGGAAATCATGCAGTGCTGAGAAAATTAGAGGAACTATGAGGAAAATTTGGTTGCGAGAAAAGGGATCCAGATGAATAAGGAATGGAAAGGAAAATGGATTGTGTGTAGAAAAGTTGAAATCAAACCCCAACCTTCTTCTAGCCTAACAAGTCCAAGACCACCAAATTACAGCTCATAGCAATTGCACAAAAGGGAATGTCTGTCATGTTCAATTACATATCACTGAATTATTTCACATCACCGAATTACAGTTCATAGCAACTACTATTATACTAATGGCTACTACTTCTACCTCCTTATGGTGCTGCTAACTTGTACTGCTATTACTAACTCGTGATGTTGTTGTTCACTACTAGTGCTACTAACTAATGTTGCTAGCTGCTAACTCTTGATCATGCTCTTACTAACTATAAGTCATTTAGTGATAAAGTAAGTGAGATACATTGGACCGAAAATAAAGTTGAATTCACCCCAACCCTCTAAGTAATGGAATTGATTCAATCCATTTTAATTTGCAAACACACATATATATTTATAAACCACATCCTTCAGCATTATGTGTTAACCCCAAATTAAGCAACAATAACATGAAGGAGGAAGAAGAGAAATAAAAATATACACTTAGCATTGTCTCTTTTGCCAGAAGAACCCTAGAAATCTCAGTAGCACAGAACAAAGTGTTAATTTTAATCCCAGCAACACATAACAAAAGTACAAAGCTAAGGAAGCATGAAACTTCAATCCCAAAGCCCCGACTCCACAAAAAAATGTTCATAAACCTAAAATGAGCATTGAATTTCAATCCCCCTACATAAATTTGTAAATCTAGAACATCCCCAATTTCTCAAACTTTGAAATCTTAGAAATCGAATTTTGAATAAAATTGTAGAACTGATAGGCATACTAACCGGTTAATGCAAGAGGAAGACTCAGTGTGTGTTGTAAGAGGAATGGAGAGACTCGGTGGTGACTAGTGATGCTGTGGTGGAGGAGGTTGAGGTTGCGAATGCTAGAAAGGACACTTGCGCTTCTTTTTCTCGTAGTTGCGGCAGTTGAGGTATGGTCGTAGGAGATGCTCAGGTCAGGCGGAGATACAATCGAGGTAGGTCAGCGGTCTTCGTTTGCTATCGATGGGAAGAGGGAGAGGCAGTAGTGTACTGTGAGGCTCTATGCAGGGGAAAAGGGAGAGAGGGTTATGTGTAGGGAAATAGGGAGAGGTAATGGCGGCGACGAGAGGAAAGGCGAAACCGTTCTTTCTTTCTTCTTACATCGTTGTTGTCGCCCTATTTCAGAAGCTGGATCAGCGTTGCCGTCGCCGATGCTCAATCCCTTCACTATCGACTAAGAGACGCGCCGAAATCCCAACGCGGAAGAGCAGAGTCCAGTCTATACAATCGTTGAGCTCAATCCCCTTTTTCGCGAAATACAATAGACGAATAGATGCAAAACCCTGTTTCTTCCTTTACCAAGCATCGCACTCGCCATGAAACTGTTTCAGAATCCGACTCGCCATCGAACTGTTTCAGAATCCGGCTTGTCGTCACCCTCAGCTCGCTGCCTTCAATGTTGAAGAGAATTGGAAGTCGACTGAGAAGTCGACTGAAGCTGCTCAACCTTCTTTCTCATTTTCTATTATCAAACTTGTCAACCTATTTCTTCCTTTACCAAGCATCGCACTCGCCATGGAACTGTTTCAGAATCCGACTCGCCATCAAATTGTTTCAGAATTCGGCTTGTCGTCACCCCCAGCTCGCTGCCTTCAATGTTGAAGAGAATTGGAAATCGACTGAGAAGTCGACTGAAGCTGCTCAACCTTCTTTCTCATTTTCTATTATCAAACTTGTCAACAAGTGCAACAGGTAACCAATATCAAAATAAATTAAAAACTAATTAATTAAACAAGATCTAATGGCTCACAATATTTAACAAGATCCAATGGATATAAACATGTTGATAAAGGTCTATATAGAAAGAAAAAAACATGTTGATAAAGGCTCAAAACCCTAATTCCCCAAAAAGAATACAGCGTTTTCGGTTTTAAGTTTTAACTCTTTTCAGTTTCATTTCTTCTCTCTCTCCTCCCTCTATCTCTCTTAGGACGGCTACGCCGATCTGAATTTTCTCTGCGACCACTTCAGAGAGCGAAAGAAGAGACAGACTTCGCCGTCTCTTCTTCCCTTCTCAGGTAACTCCGCCCCCAATCCATACCCACTTTTCTCGGTCTCATGCTGTTGTTAGTTTACTCTTCATTTCGCTCTGATCGCTCTCTGTTTAGCCGTCGAGAAAATCTTAGATCGACTTTGGCAGGGAATGAATCTGGTGATTTTGTGCCTGGGGTTTGGGTTATTGTGAGAATCGAGATCATCGGGAGCGGTTTTTGGGTCTTTTTTCTGAATCCAATTCCGCGTCCATATTTGTGGTTTGTTTGGGTATATTGCGATTGATTCGTTAACGTGCTTGTCAACAGAATTAAGCTGATTTTTGAAGATACCATCGCATTCTGGTTGGGATCGTCTGCAAGAATTGGCCTTTACAGTGCGATTGTGGTAGATTCCAATGAAGAACGTAGAGCGTCTAGCCAATGTTGCTTTGGCAGGTTTGTGATAATTTTATGTGCTACTTCTCAGTCACTGCCCACTGAATTGATGATATAGGAATTGGTAGACAGATTGTCTGTTGAGGCGTGTGATTGATAAGAGTTCTGGTACTAAGAATAGCTGGTGGTCGTACTAATTCAACAGTTGGGTTAAGTTTCTGTAATTTTTTTCTTCTTTTTTGTCTCCAGTCCCCTGCACCTTTAACCTGAGCTCTGAAGATGTAGTAATTGGCTTATGCTTGTTTTTGTGTGCCCCATTGTGACATATTTGTTTGCAGCATGAAAATTATATTTGAGCTCTATAATTTTCTTTCCTTGCTCTTGTTATCTGCAGCATGAAAGATGATTCACTCTTTTTTGTTTGGTCTCTTTGTTTATCAGGGGTGTATGGAAGCATAATTTTAGAGCAAGCACTTTTCATGATTGTTTTTCCCTAAGACTTTTATCTGTTTTTGTGACTGCAGGTTTGACATTAGCACCACTAGTCGTGAAAGTAGATCCGAATTTAAATGTCATCTTGACTGCATCGCTTGCAGTTTTTGTTGGTTGCTACAGATCTGTAAAGCCAACACCACCAACTGTAAGTTGAGAAGGACTTGTGTCTGCTGCTTTCTCTTGTTCCTTTGACCGATAATGTTCTTCGATCAATTATGAGCATCATTGTTATCTGCTTCACCTTTCAGGAAACAATGTCTAATGAGCATGCAATGCGCTTCCCTTTCGTCGGCAGTGCAATGCTGCTATCTCTATTCTTGCTCTTCAAGTTCCTTTCCAAGGACCTGGTTAATGCAGTCTTGACTTGCTACTTCTTTGTGCTTGGAATCATTGCACTTTCGTATGTTCTTACTTTTCAGGCTCGAGTAAAACATTTGTGAAATTTATATGGGTTTGAGTAATTGGGTATGTTCTGAAAAGTTTATATTTTATATTTCCAGGGCAACACTGTTACCAGCTATCAAACCTTATTTGCCTAAGGAATGGAACGACAAAGTGATCTCATGGCATGCTCCGTATTTTCGCTGTATGTGGGTTTTGTTTCTACTCGCCTTTTGGTTTCACCTGCATTTTCATGATGGCATTTCTTGATGGAGCTGTTTTTTGTTTGTTTATACAATCTATAAAATCATGGATTTTGAGCTGTTGAAATACTTGAATGTTTTACCAAAAACCTTAGTTGACTCTTTATCAATGGAACTACAGTTGAGTCAGTGGTGTTGCTTTTAGAAGATGAAATGATTTCTCGAATGTTTCATTGCACTGCTTCTCATTTGTGGTTCTGCATTACTGAAATATCTTCATTCTTGTTCTGAAATGTGTCTCCTTTTATGCAGCTTCAATAGGGTATTTTGGTGCCTTTGTTTGTATGAATATATCTCTATCTGTGTATAAAAACCCTTGACATGGAGGTCATTTTGAACTGTGACCTTGAATGCTAATTCTTCTGTGATTGTTGACTTCCATGTCATGAGTACTGTTCTTTGTAAAGCTTTAGCATGTTCTAGCATTGCGGAGTTTTTATTTGATGGAGTTGATGTCTTGGTTCTACTATGCAGAATGATGTTTTACCTTACACCTTTTTTAAACAGCTCTGGAGATTGAGTTCACTAGGTCTCAGATAGTGGCTGCAATTCCTGGAACATTCTTCTGTGCATGGTATGCATCAAAGAAGCACTGGCTGGCAAACAACATTTTGGGCTTGGCTTTCTGTATTCAGGTGTGCATTAGTCATGTTAATGTGATATGAGGGCCGCTTACGTTTATAGTTTATCTATTATGGCTTTCGCCTTAATAGTTTCAGGAACTTTCATTTGTTTGTTTATATACTTCTACACTTTATGGAAAGATTGCATGCAAAGTTTGTCATGTCAGTCTTATCCAACGTGTCAAGGAACTAGTATTGGTCCCACTGTACATATCGGATTGTCATTGAAGATACAAAATTTTCTTCTTACAGGGAATTGAAATGCTTTCCCTTGGTTCTTTTAAGACTGGTGCCATCCTCCTGGTAAGAAGTGTGACCTTGAATGCTAATTCCTCGGTGATTGTTGACTTCCATGTCATGAGTACTGTTCTTTGTAAAGCATGTTCGAGCATTCCAGAGTTTTTATTTGATGGAGTTGATCTGCTGACATCTGTTTTTAAATGGCATGACTAAGTTTTTAGTATACAAGTATCTGACACAAGAAATTTGCATCTAACTGAATTCCGTCTGCTTTGATCTATATTTGTGCCCAGCACTTCTGGTGAGATATGGAAATCATTATCATGCTTTAGACCCTTCTTGCTGGTCTGTTATCCAATGGATTTTGTTGCTTCAGACCTCTGAAAATGTTACAACTGAGTTGTAAAATTCAGGAAAGCTTATAAAGAAAAGTAAAAATTGTATGATACTTGCAAATTTCTCATGCTATTGTAAAAAGAATTTGCATTCGATCTCCCTTCATGTGGTCAGAACAATAAAAGTAACTATGTCACGATTGCTTGTTGCAGGCTGGACTTTTTGTGTATGATATTTTCTGGGTGTTCTTCACTCCAGTAATGGTTAGTGTGGCAAAATCTTTTGATGCTCCCATAAAGGTTAGTGTTCTAGATCTGTATTGTTATCATCCAGATCCATTTGGATTATCAGTCTGATGGGGTACTTCTTTCTGACTTAATGTTTGTTTTATTATGCACAGCTCTTATTTCCAACAGCTGATGCTACCAGGCCTTATTCCATGCTTGGACTTGGTGACATTGTAATTCCTGGTTAGGGTTATTCCTTCATACTTTAGATGCAGATGCACATCAGTGACTGTCATTGTGTTTGTTGACAATGCTACTACCTTTTCCACTAGTCCATTCTCGCAGCAGGATCTGTTCATGATCTGCTGCGCATAAGCACTTGATATTTGTGATTGTCATGAAGTGAGCAAATTCTGCACGCTTTTCTTAATGTGGGCGTTTCTTTCAGGAATCTTTGTAGCTCTTGCCTTGAGGTTTGATGTCTCAAGGGGCAAAAAGAACCAGTACTTTAAGAGTGCATTCCTCGGTTATGTCGTAGGATTGGTTCTTACCATCATTGTCATGAACTGGTTCAAAGCTGCTCAGGTTAGTCCCTGCCTGATTCTTTTTCCTCTGAAAAGATGCAAAGTTTACTTTAACTTCTTGTTTGATGAATCTGATCGTGTGAATTGGCTTTCTTTTGCTCCACCTTTCAGCCGGCGCTTCTGTATATTGTACCCTCTGTAATAGGATTCTTAGGCGCTCACGTCTTGTTGAATGGCGATATCAAGCCGGTTTGTCCCTCGCCTCTATTCCGGTCTTATTATTGATTTCTCATGACAATATGAGTCGGACTTAGTTGTTCCTAACCATATGCTATCTATTTTAAATGCTGCTTCAGTTGCTGGAGTTCGACGAGTCGAAGATGGGCGCTGAAGAACAAAGCAAAACTGACTCCGATAGCAAGAAGGTAGAGTGATTTTGGCAAAGTATGAGAGCAGGGGCCTGCCTAGAAACACTCACCAGAAAACAAAAGAAACTCAGTGATATGGTAGTGCTACAGGAAGACATTTATTGTTAGTTTTGATAGAGCGGGGAGAATAAAGTAAACTGTTCTAACTCCTGCAACTTACTGCCGTTCGGATTTTTGGGAATTGATAACTAATTTCCATCCTCTTATTTCCCCGATTTCCTAAGCTTCCAGCTCCCCTATCTCATTTGCCATTGCTTATTTCAGTAGTGCACTTGCTCTTTAGTCCCCTGGCAAAGAGCAGTTTGCTCTTTTGGGCTTGCAACTGCAAATACTTCTTTATAGCTAGCGCCTGGCTACGTCCCAAATTTCCACGCATCAGGCCTAGGTGTGTGCTGCAACTATCCTGTCTATCCTTTTTGGGCCGAAAATGGTCAAACCTTACCCGCCACGTCACTAAACCAGCCATATCATAATCCCAACCCAACCTGACCCAGAATCAAAACCGACCCACTTACAAAACAAATCCGCCATCTCTCTCCTCCTAGCAGATCAACATGAGGATTCTGCTATCCCCCAGCAGTCGCCGGCATCGGTGCCAACCTGCTCTCGCGTCCAACACTTGCTCTACATCCTCCACGAGCTCTCCTCCAAACCCAGAAGCGCCAACCACTGCCGTCGACCTTCGAATCCTCACCCACCACTTATCCTCTGCTTCTCCCCCGCTACCACCATGGAAACCACCCAGATCCGAGAAACCCCATTCTCGATCGAACCTTCGATCCCTCACCCACCACTTATCCCCTACTTCTCCCCTGCTCCCGCCATGGAAACCAACCAGATCCGAGAAACCCCATTCTTGATCGAACCTCTGATCCCTCACCCATCACTTATCCCCTGAGTTCTTGAAAACCCTAATCTCGACGTGAGAATAGAGTTATTGAAAACCCATTAACGTAGTCATACTCCTCCTCGTCCAACCCGCAATCGAAGTTGAGGACGTAGCTCTCGACGTTGTAATTGAACTTCTGAAATCTCCATCAATTGAACTTCTGCTGCTGCTGGTTTTCGCCTTCCCCTGTTTTCACTCCTCCCCTGTAAGCTTGTGAGAGGTGGAGGTAGGGAGATGAGGAACGAGAGGAAGGAGAAGTGAGGCGGGTTTGCTTTTGTTAAGTGGGTCGGGTTTGGTTCAAGGTCGGGTTCGGTTCATGGGTTGGATTGGATGTATGACATGACGGATTTAGTGACGTGGCGGGTCGGATTTGATCATTTCTGACCCAAAATGATGCTGGCTAGGCGCTCCTGTTAGCCATGTTAGCACATAACAGAGTCTTTTAACGGAGTTGGATGGCAACTAATGACGAGTGACTAAATGTGTCCTGTTTTAGTAATTATAGTGACCAAATTTGATATTAGCTTTTTCTAGTGACTAAACATGTCCCAATTTAGTAATCTCAGTGACCAAATGTGTCTTTAACCCTATTATATATAGACAAATTGAATCGGATTGAATATATTTTGCTTTGACTTTGATCCTGGCTTGGACTGGATTAAGTCGGACGAAATGAATTGAATATACTTTTGGTTTGGTTCTAGTCCTTAGTTTTATTTGATTTTGGTCTATTCAATCTGGTTCTAGACTGATTTAGTCGATACCCATTCATAATTATGTTCAAGTCCGAGAGCGAAGTAATAGGAAACACAACATGGGTTGAGATCGGTTACTAAGGGGTCCTCTTAGTTAATTGATTAAGGGCATTCTAGCATTTCATTTACCTTAATGGATGAAATTAATTCACTGGCAATACTTATTGTTTTAGTTTACTTTTGTTACCTTTAAAGATTTCCATCTCAATTCTCCATATTAGTGTTGGGCATCGGTTCGGATCGGTTCAAACTAAATCGAACTAGAGCATATCAGGTCTCTAATATCACTAAGAATGGAAATTGAAATCAATTCGAATTATAATTTCGTTCGATCGGTCCGAACCTAATTATAATTTGGTACAGTTCATAATTTCATACAAAACTGAATTTGTGATGCTAGCTTGTGTCTTCTCCCTTATAAATTATTTTCACCCCCAATGCAAACAATAAGTATGGAATTATATGCATCATTAATAATGAAATCATACATTCTTACATATAAGCCAGAAAACACTAACATGATGCAAAATGAAGCTCCTGAAAATACTGCTTAAGGGATGATTGGTCGTCCCTACCAGTTAAATAGGTGACAGTTAGGCGTCCTTGAAAATACAAGGTAATGGACAATTGATCGTCCCCACAAGTGATACATGGGACAATTACTCGTTCCTGAAAAGTGCATAAGTGACTACTCGTCGTCCCCCAATACACAAGTTAAGAGACAATTGTTTGTCCCCAAAAGTCATAAGTGATAACTTGTCGTCCCTGAAGATACAGTATAAGAGACCACTCGTAGTCTTGAATAAAGCTTTTGGTGACAATTTTTGGACTCCAAGTTAATACCAATAGGAACAACATGTCAACCCTATAAAAAGAAAAGGTGACGATATATTATCCCCAGATATGCCCAACAAAATCATGAAATAGATTATGCGGGACAACAACTTGTCCCTGAGAATGATGTTTAGGGGACGACTTATTGTCGTTACAGTTATAGCTATAAGGACGACATGTTGTCTTCCATGGAATAGAACGAGATGACGACTTGCGAGTATCGGGGACGACTGTCGTCCTTAGTAATGGGGACGACCTAGATTTTTGCCATCCCCAAAAGAATAGAGGATAAGAGTATAGGGTCGACATGTCGAGCTTGGAGGCAAGTTGAAGATGGATGGGGCGAGGGTGCAGGCAATCCAAGAATGGGAGCCGCTGACGAAGGTGCCGACGATGGTGCCACGTTCTACAGGTAGAACTGCTTCTTGATTTCTCTCTTGAAATCTTCCCACGTTACCATCACACACGTACCTCTTTCGACGTCTACTTCACGTCTCCTCCACCACACCATGGCAACATCGACCAAGTAAAGTGGAGCGGTACGAAGTTTTACCTCATCCTCTTGGATGCCGGATGCCTTGAAGTATTGCTCAAGACTCCAAAGGAAGTTCTCTAACTCCCTCGCGTTCCTTGAACCTCCGAAGTTCTTCGGTCTTGGAACATCACCACGTGGACAGATTGCACTGGGGCAGGTCCACTAGCCATAGCTCTCTTCATGAGAGTGACCTCACTCTTGAGGTCTGCAATCTCCTGCTTCACGTCGACCAGCTCAGCCTGGACATGCTCTTTCACAACTTCAATGGCTTTGTTCATGGATTCGGAGATGGTGTTGGTGATGAGAGCCACAAGCTCTTCTCGCAACCCATCATGGTTGATCTCCAAGCTCGACCACCGAGCATTCATCCCATGAACATCACTTTGGACTTGGGCAAAGTTAGCTCCCAAATCCTCGATGGCGGTGACATCTTCGGAAAGCTTCACCTCCATCCTCGAGACTCGGCTCTCTAGAGACTTGAGAGGATCACGAGTGCTCGACATACCTTTTGCCCTCTGGCCCGGGGTGGGCTCTCTTTCACGCTGCTTCTCAGCATCGTCATGGACTTATGATCCCGACATTTTTGGTGAGGCTCTTCCTTTTCGTCTGGCTATTGCTTATACTTTGCTAGCACAAATCCGAACAGGGCTCTGATACCACTTGTCACGACCTTACTCTCGATTGTGCGGCCCTAGCTCTCAATTCCGTTAGAGTGCTAGGCAGCCTTCTCTCAAACTCACTTGCAAGCAAAGAAACAAGAACAAAGACAAAGGAATTGGGAGAACTCTCTAGTGTGTATTACTCTAAAAAATGATGGAATGAGTTACAAGTGAGGGAGATGGCTCCTTATATAGGCCTCTCCTCATACAAGGCATCAATGCCCCCTCATAATGTCCCTCTACATTAATACACCCATTAAGTCCCCCATTATGTGACTCATAAGTGCACCATTAAGCTCTCTTAAGGTGGAGAATTCTAGGAGCATCTCTATGCTACTAGTCTTCCATACACGCCACATGTGCAGCCGCCATGTTGTCACCTTGTTGGCGCCATGTAATCTGCCACATGTGACAGTTGTCTCTAAGGCATTTATGAGTTTGAGTTCCTGAATTATAGGCTTATTACAAAGTTGTACGAAGAAAGGATATCATGATATCACTCTGTATGAGTTTTCTCTGTTTATGTACAAGTTACCTTTCGTCTCTGACTTGTTAATATAATAGCTAGTGAATTGTGCTAATACAGTTGTGAATTAAATAATTGAATAAAAAACTTGTCCTTATGCTAACAAACAAGTGATTAGCATTTTGTTTCCTTTATACATTTGTTTTGCCCTTCATGCTCCTGGAGGGCTTAGCAATGTAGAGAAGATGATGAACATGACACCAAAGCATCTTCCTGTCTTGGAGAGAATTCAGATACCCGATGGAGTAAAAGTCAGGCAGATAGCAGTTGGATCCGAGCATTCTGCTCTGGTTACAGGTTTTCTTCCAAGTCTGGTTACACCTTTTCTTCTCTACTCCGGGTCATTAATTTCTCTCGGTCGTGGCATTAGCAGCTTGTTTATATTGTTGAATGTCAAGCATCAAACTTGGTAGATTTTGAATTGAAGCAATGTTGATTGACGATTTATGTTGTTGATTTGATGGTATTACACTGGAAGAATGTTGATTATTGGTAATATGATTGTGCAAGCCAAGTTAGAAAATACGGCACATAGTGCAAGCCAGCATAACAACTTCGGAAACTACGGGTCAAACTAAATGAAAAGTTTGTGTATAGTTGAGGCCAAACTAAATTATTTACTCTGTCTCCGCCATGTCGAATCCATGCACGTACGTCATCGTGCTGTGCTCAGCTTGCTGCCGTCAGCTCTTTTCCTTGTAGTCTTCAATAATTTCAGAGAATTCGATCATAACGTGGTTATTAGCGCGTCCAAAACAATAGCCTGTAGCAGTAGGCACGCCGAGTTAATCGCCGACTCAGTGGATCTAGTACCAATGTACCATTATCATTCTACGATTTAATAGTAGACGCCGGCCTTAGCAAGTCCGCCATTAATCAGACATCCTGTGTCTAGCTAGCTAGCTAGCTCTCTTATAAAAAGGAGCCTCTGCTGATCTGCCATCATCGCCTACTAGCTATATACGAGATGTTCAGGAAAACGAGATGTTCCCTTGGTACAAGTACGGAGTCACGCCGCGGTTTGGCACGGTGTGGAGCAGGCTGGAGCTGTCCAGCGACAGGAAGGTGATCCTGGACTTGGAGGGGGCGTCGGCGGCGAGCAAGGCGGAGGTGGAGGCGCTGAAGAGAGAGATACAGGAGAAGGAGGCCGAGTTGGTCAGAAAAAACATGGCCATAATCAAAGCACTCGAGGATGCGCTGGCTGCATTGACTGAGTAGTATCAGTATGCTCCAGTGTTTTTTCCACGTGTTTACGTCGTTGGATTGTTGTTTGCTATGTGTATGTGTTGATGTTGGGTCAAGATCGATGTTGGTCTAGACTTTGGGCTTCTGGTTGGGCCTTTGTTTCGGGAGTCAAATAACGAGCCCATTTGGTTTGCCGAACTAGTTGTTTGTTTCTTGCTGCTTTAAGGACTGTGACGGTTAGGCAGTTCCTTGCTTTACTGTTTGATAGGCCGAGCAATAGGGGATTAATTAGTGGCTGCTTTCTTTTCGGCAGTCATTAGTTAATTAAGCTTGATGTATTTAAGTTTGTTCTGCTTTTCTAATAAGATCATCAAGTTTGTTCTGCTTTTCTAATAGTTGTTTATGTTTTTGAGTTCCCCTCACTCTATTCCACATTCTTTTTGATCTATAACATACTGGTCAAAATAAACATCATGGTCAATCTTTCCGATCTATAACATCCTGGCCCGAACTATACACCAAAATAAACAATTTGACCAAACCCGATGTTTGACCGTTAACTTGGACGGTCAAACGTGTTGACTAACGGTCAACGCGCCACGTGACTGCCAAGTTAGAAGATCTGATAAATATTTAATTTTTTCATTTTTTATTTTTGGTTTAACTAAGGTATTAGATGTTTTTTTTAATTTATAATAATTTAAAACTAGGGAATGTGTGGAAATTGTGAATTATTTTAAATATTTATGCTGACTTGGCAGTGACATGGCGCGTTGGCTAACGGTCAACGCGTTTGACCGTCCAAGTTAACGGTCAAAAGTAGGATCTGGCCAAATTGTTTATTTTGATGTATAGTTCGGGCCAGGATGTTATAGATCGAAAAAATTGGCCAAAATGTTTATTTTGGTCAAAGTTCAGGCCATTCGAAAATATTAACCTTTTGTTTAAGGCTTGTCCTTGATGGTTGAAAGTAATTAGCATGCCCTGGTTCGGTACCTCACCACATTCTCTACTTGTGTTGATTGTTGTTCTTTCGTGGCTTATTTATCGCATATTACTTTGTTAGTTTACTGATGGAGAGCAAAATTATGTACAGTTGACCATCTAATGCGTTGAGTACACCTTTCAATTCTTTTTTGGATTCCTTTGCTCTTGTTGGTTGGAAGTTACTTTGATTAGATGGTTCAAATTGAATCTTCTTCGTTACTTTTCTTTGAACTTTTATAGTAACCGAGAGTAGGTTTTACGATTAATCATATATGCCTCGTCTTCTCATGTTGCTTGCTTCTGATCTCTTATACTGGAGGTTTCTTTCTCCTGCAATCGCATAATTATAGATTTTTATACACTCTAGATTTTCCTAAATGATCAAGAACCATTTCCTAGTCGTTTTGCAGGATTCAATATTATTTATGGGGTGAATCTGTTCTTGTTTTGGCAGACATACAAGGCCTTGTACATAACGTGTGGAATTACTCTCATCTTATCCTAACCCTTGTGGTTGGCTAACATCAAGGTAGGTTCTCTCTACTCCCTTTCTTAATTATGTGAAAGTTTCTAGATTGAAGAACTCCATCCATTTGGCTTCATCTACAATTGGCTCTGCATGCTTTAGTGTAGGTTTTTGTTTGAAATGGTTGAAGGGTTGTCTATTTTGATGGCTGAAGGGTTATTTTGCAGGGGTTCCAGACTTCCCGTTAATGAAGGAAGTTGATCTTCTAACTTGCACAGTGGTGGATTTGGTAGTATAAGGACCTAAGAGGGACGATAAGTGAGAATTTTGGTGGGTATAAAAGGACTATAAGCAACTTGTTTAAGTATAGTTTTGAACATTTGATAGAATGTCAAACATTGAACTCCTTAGATACTGAAGGAATGTTGATTGATGGTTTATATTGTTAATTTGGTAATTCAAAGTCAGATTGGTTTCTTAGTTGAATTTGATAAATGTTTGTGACAAATAATATTACATCAGATTTGGGGTGTGATCATAGAGCATGTAATTCAAAACAAAAAGTAGCTTCTTTAGCGACGGTCAGAACCATTGCTAAGTAATTTATTCTTTTTTTTTTTGAAACATTTATTTCACGACGATCCTGCTGAAGCTGATGACGGGTACTCCCGTCGTCAAAGTTTGCTGACGGTCAACGCGACGGTTGACCAGAAGCGTCGCGAAAGCATTTAAGGGCAACGGGGTCAACGACGGTTATCAAGCCGACATTAAATTATTTAGCGACGGTTTTGACCGTCGCTAACATTCCCGAAAACTGTCGCTAAATCACTGCTCTGTTGTAGTGTATATACACATATTGCTTCATGGTTAACTTGTAAATGACTAGACGCTTATGGTTATAACCGAACCAAACCGGAGCGACTAACAACCAATACCATAATTGTCTCCGAAACAACAACTTTGATTACATACATAGAGGCAAAGCACATATGTACGTACATGCAGTAGTACTGAAAACCTCCGCCTAATTGGCATGACCCGCTACCATATATACACAAACACTCAAAATCCTTTACCTACCTAGCTTCGTCGTTGTCAAACTTTCCACACCAATTAAGAAGGAGGCTCGCTGCAGATCTCTGGAGGCCGGTTCCCGGTGCGCTACTCGATCGTTCCCCATGTCGGCCAACGGTGATGGAGATGAAGCAGCAGTCGAGTCAGACTGCAACGTTCCGTTCCCGCCTGGAGGTAGACTCTATACAGCAGGCGAAGATGGAGGACGAGCGGACGTGATGTTGCTCTCTCTAAAAATGTTTCTTCATTAATATTAAAAGAAGAAAAGTTGTCTCCATAGTGAGGTGGATATATACCCTATTGCCTCAAAAGGAATTATGATCCATATCACTCAATCACATTATCACCAAACAAACAATTACCAGACTGTAGATTTCATCCTCCTCCGCGTTTGATGGGCGATTGTTACCATGAGGAGCCGCAAGGACCTTATTGAACTTGAAATCGATTCCAGAATCTCGCAAACCATTCTCAGCAGCTTGAAATAATTCATTTGTTTTCGAAGCTGGGTCTAATGCCATCCTCTTGGACAAAGCACTCCTTAGTAAAGAGCTGATTTGTTCTTTCTCTTTATTCAATTGATCCACAGTTTCATTCAACTTCTTCACTTGATACATCTTCTCCGCTGCCCAGTCTTTTGCCTTCTCAAGCACTATTCTAGTTAGCTCGTGAATGGATTCCGTGCCAGCAACCGAAGCACGGACATTCTCCCCAATACCTGTTTGTTGTGGGAGAAACAAAGACTCTGACAAGTCTGAATCTGAATGATTTGAATCAACTGTCTTAATAACATCACAAAGCTGATCACGGATTTGTGAAACCAAATTCAACTGATCAACCAACAAAGGCCGCAAGGATTCCATTTCAGCTTCCAGTTTCCTCATTTTGGCATCATACTCACTAACTAGCAGCTTCCTTCTCCTCCATTTGGATCTTCTCAGACAGCAGCTGCCTCTCAACTTCTAAAAGCTTCCCATTGTTATCCGCAACGGCTTTCTCCAACCTCTCTACCGACGAACTTTTCTTCTCCAACTCTTCTCTCAATCTATCTATTGTAGCTTCAAGTTGAGAAACCTCAATGGCAATCGCATAGTTCCTTTGCTCTATCTGTTCTCTAGCTTCATTTCTAGACTTGGCTGTGGCATCAATCTGCCTAACAAGCTCCTCAACTATCTCATTGGTCCTCTTAATCACTCCATAAGCAACCGCAGGGAATCCAGAGTATTTCTGAGATCTCGGCAATCCAGCCGCTGCAAAATTCTTGAAACTGCTGACTTTGCCAGAAATCTTCTCAATGCCACTTACCAGCATGTGCCGTGAATTCTCCATTTCCGATAGCAATCCATCCCTCACCTTAACAGCTTCGTCAAGCTGCCCAGCGAACTCATCTCTCTGCGTCATAACCTCATCGTGCAACTTCTTTGTTTGGTTCAGTTCCTCCGCTATCTTCACATTGGCTTCCAGAGCCTCCTCCTTTTCCTTCGCGCCTTGGTCTCGTTGCTTCGAGCATTCGTCTCGCTTCTTGATGGCCTCATGCGCTAGAGACTTCAACCGGAGGAACTTGTCCTGTAGCTCAGATTTCGAATCCTCGGCCGCCTGGCGTAACGCTCGCTCCTGCTCGAGCTCTTGGCTCGGACTTGGTATGGCAATTGGAATCGGATCATCTTCCTCCTCGACGTCGCTCAACACCGCGTCGGCAGCGGCATCTTCGTCTGCCGACATCGAATTCAGATCACTCCAATCGCCAAACCTCGAATATTAACAGAGGAAATCGTTAAATATGCTTTACCGTTAACCACAATCTTCTTCTGTTGATAACTCAAACGGTTGAATATTTCCCGAAACAGATGGTGAATCCGCAGCAGTGAAAACTGAAATGGCAGAAAGACACCGGCGGGAAGAAGTTGAAAGCTTACCAACCAGTTTGTTTCTTCCCGTCCAAGAGGAAATTGCCATTGCTCCAGTCTCTCTGTTCTGATTTTCTTTGCTTGTGGAATCTTCGTTCCTTACTATTTGCCCCGTATATTCTGAATGAATGTCGTCTGAAGGTCTCAACTTCAGTATATTTACAGACAGATCCACGGAATTATATACGTCTGCGTGTTTTGGCGCTTAAACATCGATGGTTGTTTTACACACTAGTCCTTTTTTTTTTTTTAACTTCCTATCATATCCTTCGACCATCCCGCAAGCTACGGGAAGTTCAAAAAGTCACTACCTCCATGGCCTTCCCGGGGTTTTCGATTCACAGCAGCAAACCTTCTGGTTAGGGTTTTGTGCTTTCGTTAATTTCGGGCATGAAGTTTCTAAGACCACTCTACAGTTGCAGAATGAATTGCTTGAGATCATTTCCAACTCCCACAAGCATGCGCTTCAGTAACACAAGCATGTCTGCCGACTCCTTTCCTTTCATTTTACCACGGGCCTCACTCCCGTCTCTTCAATTCCGCTTCTCAACCAGTCGACTCCGAGCCAAAGACTCCCTGTTTGCGTTCGATTCTTCTGAAACAGAGGGCGGGAGCAGATATGACTCTGGAGAAGCTCAGTATCGTAGGGTTTACAATCCGATGAAGGGTGGGTTCGACGTGGTAAAGAGGAAAGAGCGAGAACTGGAACCTGGATTTTCGGGTTATCTTTCAGAGCTTGAGGAGTTGGAGAGGAATAGGACCTACGGAGGTGCAAAGGGGCGAAAGTTGGGCGGTAGGCTTGATGGAAAGCATCTCGAGGATGAAAATGCGAGTATAGTAAATCGAGATGGTTTATCGAGTTCAAATGGTCGAAAGCAGGAAAGCAGTGTGAGTAATGAGAATCTGAGCACGGAAGATAAATCGAGGATGGGAGTTCCTGTATATATTGGTGATAGCGGGGCTGTAGAGAATGTGAACAAACATGGAAATGGGAAGAAGGTGGATTATGTCAAAGGAGTGAAGTCAGGATATATGCTCACAACTAAGAAGGAGAAGGTTAGAACTAGTTATGTTTGTGAGAATTGTGGGCATACAGAAGGGCAATGGTGGGGATATTGTCGCTCCTGTAAATTTGCTGGGACGATGAAGAAGTTCTCTGAAACGGGTGGTGGCTATGGAGACAAGGTTAGTGGCATTGTGGCCTCAGAAAATATGGTGAAGTCTTGGCTGCCTCAACAGGCTGCAGAGGTGAACCCAGTAAGTTTGGCCGAGGTGAACAGAGATGTGAATCATTTGGAATGGCGGATCCCTCTGTGAGTGTTGTTGTTTTTGCTGTCTTTTCTTTCCGTTTCTTTGTCTGTTCAGAATCTCCATATACTGTTGCTTCTAGTTCTGTGGTTGTACATCAATTGATAACCGTTGTTTCTTGCTCCATTTATTGTTATCGAATGACTAGGTGTTGTCCGGAAACTACATTAGCTTGAGTATCGGTTTGGGTTTGGTGAAGAAAGCCATTGGCTACTAAGATTTGCATAGTTAGCTTTTATCCGATTACACAATTGCAACTTTGTTGCAACCTTTTTTCGGTTCTTGCGTTTTAGCTTACTTCAATGGCTGTTTGGTTTCATATGTCACAGCTGATGACCAAAGTTTCGTTTTTGTGCATGTCGGGTGCTGTTTTTCTTAAGCAGTTGTTATTGCTCAATGGTGAATCCTGTGACTTACGAGTTCTGACCGTCTGTTAGTATCATGTAATTGATTTCCTTTTCTTGTAGTTTGAATCTTTTGTTTGTAATGATTCATGTTAGACTGGTTGTTACTGTGGTTCAGGCCTGGACCTTTTGGAGATGAAGTGGCTAGAGTTCTTGGTGGAGGTCTTGTTCCAGGTTTGTTGAGATTTCGTTGCACCGGTGGGTTACATTTATTAGACTATAATTGGCTTATCTTTTGGAGTTGTTGTCTTGGTGTTCTACAGACTTGCTTGTTGGTCCTAGAGTCTTGCTTTTACTTTCTTAATGACCTTATGGGACTGTGTGTTTGACCTACTCTTTTCCAATTATGTTATTCTCTTGTGAAGCCTGAGTGATTATTGATTGAATCATCTCGATCTACTTTTTCAAGCAAAATAGGGCTTCTCTTCTCCTAGCTTCTTGACCAATGGCCACTTTTACCTTCTCTCTTCAGGTCTGTCTGTTTGAGCATGAAAACCTTCAGTATACTTACTGGACTTTAATGGGCTGTAGGTTCTCTGGTCTTGGTTGGTGGGGATCCTGGTGTTGGAAAGAGTACATTGATGTTGCAGGTATTACTCATCTAATTCATCTAAATTAAATTATATATTCTCAACTTTATTAGATACGAGTTTTCTGTTAATTGTTTTTATCTCACTTTAACTTCTTTGAACTTGAAGCTAGCTGCAATCATCGCTGAAAGACAAGGGCATGGGAAACAAGCTCCAGTTATTTATGTCTCTGGGGAGGAGGTTAATATATAACAGAAAACCGCTTTCAGTTTCATTAATTAGTCTACTTTGCCGAACTGGAGTGGAAGGCTATGCACTCTTGACTGAGTTCCCTGATTCATCTTCTGAAGGCCATATCTACGTTCTATGAGAAGATAATTTTAATTTTATTGTCCATGAAAGAGTTCCAACTGTATTATCTTGGTTCCAAAGTTTCCTCTCATTTTTTTCCTTCTAATTACTGATCCAAAACTGATTTCCCTGTTTTATTTACCCTTTTTTTCTTTTTGGGTTGTTGCAGAGTGTTCAGCAAATTGGGAACAGAGCTGACCGCATGGGAATTGGAACAGAGGACCTTTACTTGTATTCAAGCACTGAAATTGAGGTACACATTCTCAAACTTGTTTTAGTGTAAGGCAGCTTTGCTCTTGTTTCTTTTTTGGTATTCTCTTGAAAATATGATCTCAAAGTTCCTTCTTTTGCTTGTTCCAGGACATAATGGGGAAAATTCAGAATCTATCTCCTCTTGCTTTAATTATTGATTCGATTCAAACAGTTTACCTTAACGGAGTTGTCGGAAGTCCGGGCGGATTAACACAGGTTGGCAAATGTGTATTGTAGATTACTGTCGGTCAAATTATGCTCTTTATCCTCTATTTAGTGAAGCTTCATGGTTGGATTTACTTACCTTCAGTGGTATCTATGAATCCAAACTAATACTAATAGTTGTTGTTTGAAAATTGAAGTAATATAATGGTTGTGTTGTAGTGTGGTTACAAGGACATTACTAGGACCAGGTTCCTTTTCTTCATGATGATCTCACTTAGTGAGCAATGCTGTATCCTCTTACTCTTTTCTATGTTTCCAAATATGGGCTGAATGTCTTCCATTTATAGTTTAAACTGATTAGATCATCATTTTTCTTAGTTATAATTTTTATTGGACATTTCTTTTCTTCCTGTTTTTGCCATTTCTAGCTATGGCAAGGTGCTTCCTAAATATTCCATATGCCTACAAATGAGAATTGTATCTCTGTTTGCCAGGTCAAGGAATGCACATCAGCCTTGTTGCGGTTTGCAAAGAAAACTGACATCCCAGTTCTGTTGGTGAGTTTTCTTCGTCCTTAAGTGTCCCATGCTTATAATGTTAGATTGCATCTGAACTTGGTTCTAGAAGCGAGTTTAATGTGTTAAAATTGCCTTTGTTTTCTTTTCTGCTCTACGGATCAGCTTTAATTAAAAGTTAGTGGACCTTATCTTATCTTTTGTCATATAGGTACGTTTCTCACATATAATATTTCAAAATAAAACATCTTGGTGTCAACAGAAATATAAAAACTGATTGCCTTTAGCCTGAAGAGGTATAATTGGAGAGTCTGAAGCTCTAGAAACGCAGTACAGTTATGATTTGGAAATCCATGTTTGACTTGCAGCGCTGCTTAGCACAAAAAAAGATAATTAATATAATGGATCACTGCAATGTATTGCATTAAATGGCTTTAAATGTTCTTTCTCAAATAGAGCATTTGGCGTCAGCCAATATCTTACTCCAGCATTTGTATACCAAACTGTTTTTGCTCCATCTTGGTAAATGCATGCGACTTCCTCTCATGTGATTCCACCGACGAAGAATTTCTTGTAATTCATGTTGTTTCCTTTTCCTGCCTTTTTATTGCAGATTGGACATGTGACCAAGTCTGGGGAAATTGCTGGGCCTCGTGTCCTAGAGCACATTGTTGATGTTGTTCTATATGTGGAAGTTGGTACCTTCTGCTCTATCATATATGTCTCTTTTACTCTTGTTTGTAGTTGAAAAAGGGATGAGGCAAGACGATATATTATTTGAAGCTGGTATAATAGTTGATTGGTCGATGGCGATAGTATGTGTTGAATATTCTTGTGGCTACTTATTATACTGTTACACAAACATTAGCAACTGGTTGTCAAACTGATGCCTGTACTCTTTCATGCTCCTTGCTGTCCTGTTCAAATAGTGTCTACATGCTGCTGTTAATCATAAATATACCTCACTGTCTACCAGGGGGAGAAGTCCTCGTCTCATCGCTTACTCCGGCCAGTGAAGAATCGTTTTGGGTCCACTGATGAGGTGTGCAGTGTTGTTAATATCTCACCTGCTTTTACTTAAAGATACTATCTAGTGAGTACTCGGTCATATTTTGATTTTAAATGGAAGCACCTTAGTCGGGGGATAAGAGTCCCGTCCCTTACCACTCCGCGGGGTTGCTACGAGCTCTGGTCCCGGGTGTTTTCCAGTGTTCTTCTAGCTTTAGAAGAAGTTGTGTCGTCCCCGACATCTGCAATGTCCTCCCACGCTTTTGTTTTTAATATAGGACAAACTGAAGGAAAAGACTGACCCATTCTGTGACTTTCACGGTCATAATTTTTAACTTGGGACTTGACATAATGAGACCGAGTTACCTTTGCTGGTGGCGGATAGATATCATGTACAAGTTATACTGTATTCAATCATGACTATCTTTCCCAACCTTTTTGTTGGGTGTTAATGATCACCATTCATGCTTTCAGCTGGGAGTATTTGAAATGTCTCAATCGGGTTTGCAAGCTGTTTCCAATCCAAGTGAGATATTCTTAAGTGAGCAGCACTTGGAATCTGATGTTTTGGCTGGACTAGCTGTGACTGTTGTGATGGATGGCTCTCGAAGTTTCCTTATTGAAATTCAGGTAGTTCTCTTTGGTGTAGTTGTGAATATGTTTGTTCTGGCTTCTATTAGCATGATTTAGTTACGTCCCTTTCCTCAGAGCCTGCAAGAGCGATCTGGCAATTTCTTTGATTGCCAAAAACGACACATAATATTTATTGCATTTCGATAAATTTAAGGATTCTGGTGTAGGCATTATGTGTTGCTGGTTCGTCAGCTTCAAAGAGGCATGCTACTGGGATTCAGTCTAGCAGAGCTGAAATGATTATAGCGGTAAGTATCACATTGACATTCCTTTCAATCTAAATTCTCTTATGCATTAAATATTAGGCTGCATTTATCTGCATCTGATCATGTATTCATATTGTAAATCATTCTAACAATTCTTTCTTCCGCTTGGTTGAGCTACATAATTACTGACTAATGTCTAACGTACATCAATAAAAATGTACTCCTGGAATTGCTGAATTGAGCTTGTGTAGGGCGATGTTTATAATATCTCACTATTATCTCAACTAACAGGTGCTTATGAAGCAAGCCGGGTTGGCGCTTCAAGAGAATGTACGTTATATTTTTATGTTCTTGTGTCATTTGCTTTAGAAATGTGTTCCTATTCCTCTTTCCTTATGAATCTTGAACAACAATTCTTCTTGTGTGAGCGGAATTGCTAACTTGATTGATCATGCCGGTGGGGGAATAGAAACTTAAGTTTCCCCTTTTGCATGTTCTGGTTTAGTTGGTATACATTTAAAGGAAACAAGTCATCTATTTAGTACCTAACATCTTGGTTAAAGACCATTAATGAAACAATGATGCTATTAAAATCCTTTAACATGTATCTAGAAATCGAACCAATGTTTTTCACCCTGATTAAAAAGAAAGGTCCACAGTTTTTAATAGTGATACAATTAAACTCTGTTTTGGTTTTTGTTGTACCAGAGCATATTCTTGAATGTTCTTCGTGGGGTGGAGCTTACTGAGACTGCTGGAGATCTTGCAGTAGCAGTTGCAATCTGCAGTAGGTATGGTTATACATCTCATAACGTTGAAAATTATGCAATGAGCAAGAACATGAACACCTAAGCGCTCCTTGGATCTATTTATCCATATGATTGCCGACAACTTAGGAACATGATGACTAATGTTCTTTTTGGTAGTTTCTTGGAGTGTCCGGTACCCAATTATGTTGCATTTCTGGGAGAAATCGGCCTTGGTGGTGAGCTGCGCACGGTAAGTGTACTGTTCCCATTGGATAAACCATGAAATTGACGACCTTCAGATAGATTTTGTTTCTCCAGTTTAAGTACCTAGTCTAGCATCAAGTAACATGCAATTGTCTTCTTAAGTATCCTAACACATTAAGGAGCTATAAAGAGCTCCCTGAAATGGACTACCTTGCAAACGGAGGCCGTGTTTAGGTGGTGACAATTCTCGAGGGTAATTGATGAAGCATTATCTGCTTCCTCTAGTATATCCAACAGTTATCTAATATCTATGTCATGCTTGGTCAAGTACTGAAGTTCTAATCAGGTGCTGGAAAAGCCACAGGTACCCAGGATCGAGAAGCGGGTGAACACAGTTGCAAAGCTGGGATATCAAATGTGCATCGTTCCCAAGTCTGCCGAAAAGGCTCTGGCAAGTTTTGGGTTCGAGGGGATGAAAATTGTCGGATGCAAGAATCTGAAAGAAGTCATCAACACTGTATTCAGACAAAATGGGAGACACTTCCAAGAGATGTTGTAGGAAGCTGAGAGGTTGGATTCGCTTTTCAGAATAGCCAGCCAACCGTTATCCTCTCAAGCAATAGCTGTGTATCATAGCTCTATCAGGGTTCGGGTCTATATCAATTGGATGTAAAATTTGGCGATGTTATATAGCCAGTCATATATAGTGCTGGGTCTTTGTCTAGCTAATCTAAAATCTGATAGTTTCTAGTAAGCTTAAATGTGCATATATTTGGTCTTTTCAGACTTGTGCATAAATTTGGTCATTAAATATTTATTAATATACAATTTGATTATATGTCTATTGACGTAGTTCTCCAGAGTAAGGAAAGACTTTTTATTAGTTGGACTCAAACATATTGGTTGCCTACGTACTCGAGTAGTCAGGATCAAAATTCATGTAGTTCATTTTTGAATGTTTTTGTTTATATAAGGGTGCCTAATCACATTTCTATTGATACGTTGTTAATAAGATATATTGAGCGAGCTTTCATGGAGGGAAGTGTTTAGATTTTTTTATAGTCATAGAGTAAATCTAGACAAATTGGCAGTTTGTTTTAGCAAGAACATCAGGCAGGAAGATCAGGAGATGGGTAACTACTTAGGTATCAGCGCTATTGGTGTCCAGGATAAATATCTGGGGCTGTCGACGGTGGTGGTAAAATCTAAGGCGAATACATTTTGGTTCCTAGAGGAGAAGTTGTTTGAAATGATCAAAGGATGGAAGCAACGACATTTGTCATGGACGACGAAGGAAACCATACTTAAAACGGTGGTGGGGGCCTAGCCGGTACATGGGATGTCGTGTTTCAAACTACTGATCACTCTTTGTCGTCAGATGGATAAGTATAAGACCATATTCTGGTGGGGCTCGTTGGCAGGAAGATCGAGCATTCATTGGATGTCTTGGAGTCGCTTATGTCGGAGCAAGCATGAGGGTGGAATGAGGTTCCGCCACTTTGAGCAGTTCAATCATGCACTGCCGGCTAAGATGGCCTGGCGAATTCTAGAGGAAATGGAATCCCTATTGGCTCAAGTCTTCTGGGGGAAGTACTTCCCTACTAGGTCGGTCCTCCTGAATCGATTGGGTTCACAACCCTCGTGGGCTTGGCAGAGCATTCTTCATGGTTCCCGATTGTTGATAAAGGGGTTGGGTGCCATGTGGGATCACGTGAGTCCATTCCCATTTTTTTCAGTAGGCAGGATCTCAAAGATCTCTCCGGGGTTACCTGAAGTGAGGGTGGGGGCTACGTTGGTGGGTGGGGAATTTGTGGTATCGTTAATTGACCTAGAAAAGAGAGCTTGGTGCCGGTAATGTCTGGCGTCAACTTTCAGCGAGAAAACGAGGAGAGCTATTTTTGAGGTCCCTATCCCGCGAACTCCTAGTGCGGATACGTGGGTTTGGAGGCATGACACTTTGGTGGTACTTAGATGTCCAGTTTGCTGAAGGGAGGAAGAAACTATAGAGCATTTATTCTTTTCTTTCCTCGTGGTGCTGGCATTGTGGGGGGATATCGGGGCAGATTGGCGATTTAGAAGCCTTACAGGGTGTTGCATTTGCAATTTTCTTTCGTCGGTTCTTGGAACGTGACTCCTCTTCACCCATGATTGTTTGTTTCCTGTGCCTTCTCTGGCGAATCTGGAAGTCCAGGAATTTGGTTACTTTTGAGAAGCAACAGGGTTCGTTTAGTGCGTTGGAGAGGCAGTTCAAATTTTAAGTCGAGGAGTAGGTGGATAGTCTCTCCACTAGTGGGGGTCGGTGGTTTGCCCGGGAGGGGGGGGGGGGGGGGGGGGAGTTCTTGTATTCGTTTGATGAGGCGGTTTTTCATGAGTCTCATGTTTCGGTGGGACTTGCGAGGGGCGGGACAATTTTACTCGAAGTTCTCTTTCTTCTGGATGAGTTCTCGGGGTTCAGCGTTAAGTTTGCAGATAGACAGAACAATAGGGTGATCCATTTGGTGGCCAAAAAGACCTTGAATTTGTTTCCTACAGGAGGTGATGGTTTTGATTTTCGAGCGTGATTGTGCTCGATAATCAGGTTGATGTAACTTCAATTTCTTAGTAATACAAGAGTCTCTATCAACAACAAAAAAAAATAAAAATAGGAAGGAAAGTGGTTGCCGCTAAGTATAATTAGCATTACGGGTCTCAATTGGTTTTGACTTTTGTATCATATCACAAGAGCATATGAAATGGCGGCAATAATGCCACCTTTTTGCCACTACCTATGATTAATATTTCAACAAGCACACCGGTGAACTTTTCTGGTAATTTATTCTTAGAAAGCCGGCAAGCGGCAATGTAACTCAAGTATCAGAAAAGGAAAAAGTTCATCTTGTTTCAGATTGGACTAAAATGGAAGGTCTTTACAAAGAAAATATAGGACATCTCACATCTGTGGTCTTTACCAGTTGCGTCGCACACACGAGTCAGAACTCAGAAATTTGGGTTCGACAACGATCAAGCAGAGCAGACCACTTGAACCAAACCAATCACGAGTTCTTGTTCCTGCAGCTACTAACCGTCTTGGCAAATTGACTCGCTACGACACACCAAACTACGACTAAGTGTAATCGTAAAATGGAAATGCAGTATAGTAGGAAAAGTAATAAAAGTTGAGTGAAGTGTACAAAGCAAATTAAACAGGAAGCAATAAATGTTCTGGTTTTCAAGTACGAGAAGGAACCACTCAGGTAATGATTCCCCCTAGCCTGCAGTTAAGTCGAGTTGTAATTCACCCAGTCCAATTCAATTGAGATTTATACTGCGAAAGATCCGAACCTAACTTGGAATCTCTTAATCTGACCAAGCCTCTCAGACACGTTACCCGACCAAATGACTAACCTTCAGTGAGATAAAGTGTTAAGACAATAAAAACACATCTCTTTTACTGGAATGAATCCCAGTACAGAGCAATGAATCGATTGACTCTCGCACAATCGATTCAGCATTTCTAAATCAAGATGCTCTATTAACCTATTCAGATTATCGTTCTAGGTCAAAGCTAGAAACATACAAGCGTGATCAAGACTCATTAATTTCTGAATAAAACTTCAATTGGATATATAACCATCAATGTACTGAAAAAGGTTCACACAACTGTTCCTAACATGCAAATAGGGATGGCAATGGGTCGGGTCGGGGACGGATAGTGCATATCCGTTACCCTACCCAAAGTAGTTCGGGTTTTACCCATACCCATACCCACATGTGAAACGGGTAGAAAATTAAAACCATGCCCATACCCGTTCGGGTTTCGGGTATCCTCGGTTATCCATGGGTAATGATTTTTCTTCATAACTATAACCAATATGTTAACATTCATACGTATTCTCACATTACGTAAGAAGAAAAGTACGACAATAATTCACTAGAATGAAGAAAATTAATTAAAACAACACAATTCCTTGAAAATATTATATTTATATGCTAAATATAAAATATGTTAGAGAAAAAAATGATTATTTATAGACAGAATACATATGCATGTGTATAATCGGCGGGTTCGGGTTGGATAGTGTGAAACCCATGCCCACCCATTACCCGCAATATTCGGGTTCGGATTTTACCCATACCCACTAAATGTCCTTCGGGTTCGGGTTCTACCCTACCCGATTAGGCCGGATTCGGACGGATATCCACTATTACGGATATTTTTGCCATCCCTACATGCAAAACTAAGGTTCTTCATACCCAAGAGGTAAAGGAGATTACTCCATAGAGAGAGAGAGGAAAGTCATGTCAGATGTAGAAATCATCGTGTAGATGGAAGAAATTTGCTCGGATCGTTACCCCTCGAGGCTTGAATCGAGCTCCAATGATGGGAAACTTGATCTAGGGTACTCAATGATCTTTGTTAGTCACTTTCTCTCTCTAAACCTATGTTTTCTGCTCCAAAATTCCAATGGTAGACCAAAACCCGTGTTCAACTTGTAACAGCCCGAGTTGAGCGTACCCGGTCTGAATACCCGATCGAGTATTAGGGGATCAGACCGGGTATTTAAACTAAACGACACGTTTCAGCTTCTCATCGCAGGGAAAAAATACCCGACCTCTGGGTTAAATACCCAGGCCGCCAGGCGGGTATTTGAGTTACCTGACTGGGTATTTTGCCCTTCCAACTCCACTTTCTGCCAACTCTCAGTTTTTTATCCGAAACTCGCTTCCAAGCCTCCAATTTCGTTCCAGGCCCTAAAATATAACATAAAAGCACACCCTAGCGTGAAATCAACTTAAAATACGAGAATCAACCCTCAAACGGTACAAGAATAGTGAGCAAAACATGTACAAATATCGGATTATCACAAACCTAGCGCCAATCCTAATCAGAATCATAGATTCTTGGTTTATGGTACCATTTTTTTGCATACCTGTTGGTTATCTTACCCGATCACCAATTAAGCTTATGAAGTGCAGTGTCCTGCTCCAGAATCCATGCTCAAAACAGCAGTTTTAAGTGCAGTGTGTCTAAACATCATTACAAAAAAATCTCAACTCTAAACAACAGAAATACAACACAATCTATAGCTCCGAAAGCTGCAACTAAAACAACATTGCCAAATGCTTTGAATCTTCCAGCCTGGGGCAACACACCATGGTCCACCGACAACTCTCCCAGGCCTGTCAAAGCTTACTCCTTGTCGTTCAGCATCGTCTTCACAATGGTGTCAGCCATCCCATCAAGATAAGGGAAGAAGTGTCCAGAACCAGCAAGCTCATGGTATTGAATCCAAGAAGAATGGCGCTCTGCAATGTAGCGCTGCAATATAGCAGGCACCAGAATGTCTTCATCTCCTTGCCACAGATGTACAGAGACTTCATTGTTAGTGAAAGGGTTCTCCATCTCCACCGGATCGAACTCCCAATTGCCAAATCCTACGTTCAAGTCACGATGGAGAGACTCATATTCTCCTTGCTGTCGTACATGTTCCTAGAAAACACATTAAATGAAAAAAAAATATATGGGAAAACATTAATTGATTCTTCCTAGAAAACACGTAATACAGCAAGTCGTTCAACTTGCACATTGTTGTTAACCGCATTATAGATAGAAAGAAAAGAAAAACGATGCAGGGGAACGATTCAGGCAGAGGAAAATTACCATATTATCAACTCCTTTAGCTATGAGCTTAGCTACAACTTCTTTATCTTCACGAGAAAGAATATGAGGGCTTTTACTTATTGCGCCAAGAATTGGAAACCAGTTTTGGGTATTCCACCAATGAGTTAACCAGGGAGCATAATGAGCCACACGAAGAGACCAATAGTCACAAGGTGGGTGTTTGTACAAGGCTTCAGTAGATAAGTTGGAAGGAAAGCCAGGCCACCAGTAGTTACTAGCTGGGGTCAACAGTGTCACCCCTGCTAGCCTGAAGATTGTTGACAACGAAAACAAGGACCAATAAGAAACATGAACAAAATACAACATATATCTGGTGAATCGGCATCTCCACACTATACCTGTGAGGAATGTACTTCAGGCAGCCCCATCCCAGCTGGCCGCCAAGCGAGTAACCAATTAAGTAGAATTTAGACCCCAGTCCCAATTGATCAGCAAGCTCTTCTATGTCTGACACCTGGCTCTTCACTGTTCTCGATGGATGAGGATCACTCTCCCCATAACCAGGTCTGTCATATGACACAAAATAGATCCCCAACTCCTCAACAAGTTCCTGACCACACAGCATCATTAAAAATGTCAAACAAGGGCAATAGATAAAGGATGATGAAGCCCAAGTCACAACAACAAACAAAAACACATACCGGAGAAGTGTAATTGGCAATGACATCATCAAGCCTACAGACATCGAAACCATGGATAAAGACGACTTTAATCTTGGCAACATCCTTCGACACACCATGTTCTCGGTAAGCCAAATGCCTTCCATCTCGAAGCTTGATTCTTGATGCTGTGACTAGTGGTCCATCAGAAGAACCACATATCTTGGGTGGAGGTGGTTGGATTGCTTGGTAACCCCAAGCCACTAGCCCAGCAAGCACAACTAAAAGTACTCCCGGAAAGATCCCTGAAAATATATGAACATTTGATTCAGAGTGCAGTTGAGTGAATTCAACAAACAAGATAGAAGCAATAACTAACACAGTCAATCCCACTTTATGATGGTGGCGTTTCGACCCAATGTTACAACCCAATTACTACTATCCCATTTATGGGATTGTTCAGATTAACACTAGACAGTGGAAACCGTAAGAAATACATTCCGGAATCTCGAACATCCATGCTCCCCAGCTGCCCTAGAAATGACCCTCTCCTCTTCTTATAGGGAAGTGAGAACCTACCAACCTAAAGATCTAAGCTCCTTAAACAACTCGGACCCACCAACAAATTCTGGATTTCAACTGAAAGCAGAAAGTTCCAGGTCACTTACTTACGCCAGATCAAGTAACAGAAATTCCCAATTGCTCTCTCATCGCTAGGTTGAAATCAAAATTTCTTGACTTACTCATCACACATCTAAATAGGCGGAAACGGCGATGAATGCTATACGATCCCCGGCAAACATATACAAAATTCGTTTCTCAGCGACAATTTTGGACAAGGAAGCCCACCTGAAGGGAGAGTAAGGCCGGAGCTCTGCTTAGCTCTTCTAGTGTGAGACCTTGCCGAGGCAGCAGATATCTTCCTGCTGGTTCCTGCCGCCATTATCAGTATGGAAGGAAGGAAGGAGCCCCAAAGGTTGCGAACCCACCCAGATTTAGAAGTCGCGAGAGAGAGGAGATTACCGATCTGGGATGGCCTGAAATAGACAAACAGCTATTGCATGTGTTGAGACTTTGGGCGCTGACTAGGACTGCCGGATGACTGTGAGGAGCTTCCTTGGACCATCCACAATGATAAAATCAAATTTGCATTTTTTTTTTTTTTGACAAAAGATAATCTTATATTGATCCAACAAAAAGAGTTACACCCTGGAGAGCAGCCAGGTCTGAAAGTCAAAAAAACGACTCATGGTAGGGTACAAAGACAGGGCTTTCCTAGCCACCAGATGGGCTACCCTATTACTACGTCTACCTATGAATCGAATACTAAACCCCGAATGGATGCGAAAAATTTGCACTAACTCCGCCAAAACAGCACCCATCCGACTATCATTATGGTCACCACTACTGATCTTCTCGATGATAACTTTGGCATCCCCTTCAAACAGCATGTCTGTGAACCCCGCGCCAATACACCACTCCACAGCTTCCCTCAGTGCAAGAAGCTCCACCAGCTGGGGGTTGTCAATTCCCGGAAACTGACATCCCCGAACCATATCAACCCCCCCATTAGGATGGAACACCACTACCCCCCCAGCCGAATGGGAACCACACCTTGTAGCTCCATCCCATCTACAGACCCTACGAGAAGGGTCAACCGGGGTCTGAAGGCCTGCATCAGGCACAAACAGCTGAGCCACCGGGTCTTTAGGCAGTCGGACCCATTCCTCATACTGCTGAACAAACTGACGCATTAGCACCGGTATTCCAACCTGCTTGCCCTCGAACACCACCCAATTTCTCGATCGCCAAATTCGCCAGAGAATGGCAATCATCGCCATAAACACCGAGGGTTGGTTAATTAGAGCCAAGAGCTGCTTAAGAAACATAGGGAAGGTATGGCGCGGCAGCCCCTCCCCCAGGTATTCCAAACCCGAATAATCCCAAAGGGCCCTCGCAACCGGGCAGTAGAGAAAGAGATGCTCAAGGGTTTCAGGACTCTCCCAGCACACCGGACAACGGGGATGCACCTGCACCCCACGCTCGATGAGCGCTTCCGTAGTCGGGAGGACCCGAGAAAGGATCTGCCAGACAAACACCTTCAGCTTGGGAGGGATATCCGCCCCCCAGAGACGAATCCAGCTACTTTTATCCATCCAGCTCACAGTAGCCTTCCGCCCGCACCCCCTTTTGTCAATCGTGACGGCGAGGTGATAAGCCGATTTGACCGTGAACACCCCATCAACAGTACCATCCCAGATAAGCTTATCCTCAAAATCCCCCCGTGGAAGGGGAATAGTTTTGATAGCTCTACAAGTAGTGGGGTCAAACCAACGGCTGATTGTACTATCACACCACCGTCCCTCCCCCGGCCTAATGAGCTCCGCAACCTTGGGATCCCCCCCCTCCGGGATTACTATCGGATTAACCTGGATAGGATCCAGCTGGTACTTAGGGATCCAATTGGAATTTAAAATGGAAGCCGACCGACCATTCCCAATTTGCCACCGCAGACCCTTCTCCAACAACTGGCGCCCATAGAGGATACTCTGCCAACCCCAAGAGGGGCGCGAGCGAGCCTTAGCATTAAGGAATGTCCCAGTCGGGAAGTATTTTCCTTTGTAGACCTGGGCTAAAAGGGACTGCGGATCCGTCATGATTTGCCAACCAATTTTTGCTAGCAAAGCCTGGTTGAATTGCTCAAAACGACGAAACCCCATCCCACCCTCATGCTTACTCCGGCACATATTTCGCCAGGACACCCATCGGATCTTCAGGTGGTCCTCTGTGACCCCCCACCAAAATTTGGCCACATGCTTATCCAAGGTACGACATAGGGTGACCGGAAGTTTAAAGCAGGACATCACATGTAAGGGTAAGGCCAAAGCAATAGATTTAATCAAAGTCTCCTTTGCAGCCCAAGATAATGTCCGCTGTTTCCATCCCTTTAGACGTTCTAGGAGCTTCTCCTCCAAATAACGAAACGTAGCCATCTTGGAGCGGGCAAATAATGTGGGGAGCCCCAAATACTTATCATGGACTCCCACTGCCCCCACCCCCAAAATCGCAGCCAAAAACTCCTGATCAGGCAGAGTAATGTTTTTACTAAAACAAACTGCTGATTTTTCAAAGTTGACACGTTGGCCGCTTAATTCCTCATATTCATTTAGGACCACAATCAGGTTCTCACATTCTTGGAGCGTCCCTCTTAAAAAAAGATAAGAATCGTCTGCAAAAAATAAGTGAGAAATTCTGGGAGCCCTTGGCGCCACCTTCACACCCTGCAATCTCCTTTCCTCAATGGCCTTGCGAAGGAGAGCCGTAAACCCCTCTGTGCATATTACGAACAAGAGAGGGGATAAAGGGTCCCCTTGGCGCAATCCCCGGGAGGAAGTGAAATACCCTGAAGGGGAGCCATTCATAAGCACAGAGAAAGAGGAGGACCGGAGACACTCAAAAACCCATCCTTGCCAAACTGAGTCAAATCCCATTTTACTCATAACAGCAAGCAAGAAGGACCATTCCACTCTATCATAGGCCTTTTCCATGTCAACCTTTAGAGCCATGTATCCTTTCTTTCCTCGTGTTTTGATCTTCAGGTAGTGCATTAACTCATGACCAAGGAGAATATTCTCAATAATCTGCCGGTCCCGAATGAAGGCGTTTTGTCCCTCAGATATGATTACCGGAAGGACTTGAGCAAGCCGTTCAGACATGATTTTGGTGATAATTTTATAGACGAACTGACATAGACTGATGGGGCGCAGCTGTCTCATATTTTCCACGTTGTCCACTTTAGGGATTAGGGTGAGCCAAGTGTGGTTAAAACTCTTGAGCATCCTACTCGTGCGAAAGAAGGAGCAGACAGCCTCCGTCACCGATTCACCCACAATTCCCCAGAAGGCCTTAAAGAATTTCCCAGTAAATCCGTCAGACCCCGGAGCTTGTTTTGACCCCATTGAGAACACCGTCCGCCGGATTTCCTCGGGTAGAACTTCTGCTGTCAAGGCAGCATTCATGGTAGGAGTAACACTGGGAGGAATAGGCAAGGATGCTACCCTCTCCGTCATATTTGGTATTTGCGACTCGGAGGTAAACAACCCTTGGTAAAACTTAACAGCAATATCTGCCTTCTCGGTCTCCCCAGTGACCCAATCACCATTATCGTTATGAAGGCCAGCAACGAAGTTCTTTTTCCTGCGAGTACGGGTAACTGTATGAAAATAGGCAGAGTTCTGGTCCCCCTTTTTTAACCAATGGACTCTAGATTTTTGCTGCCAATAAATTTCCTCAGCCTCCCATTGGCGGTTAAGTTCAGTCTCCAGGTTTCTTATCACATCCCAATCAATAGGCTGGATGGATTTGATTTGTTCAATTTCTGTTTGGAGAGTCCGGATATTCCGCAGGGAATTGGTAGTCCCCGCTCTACTCCAATCATAAAGGAGATGTCGCAGCTTTTTAAGGCGTTCCCAGAGTCGAAACATCGGTGTACCCTGAACTTCTTCCTGCCAAACATAATTCACCATGGCTCTCACTTCAGGATTATCCGCCCAACGGGCATCAAAGCGAAAGTGAGGACGACTGTTCCGCACATAGGCCTTGTCAGCCAGAAGGATAGCACGGTGATCCGAGCCTTGATCCGTGAAGTGCTTAACCAAAGTATCAGGGAATTGATCGATCCATGCTTGAGAGCATAAAGCACGATCTAGCCGCTCACGAATACAAGCATTCCCCATCCGTCTGTTGGACCAAGTAAATTGATCCCCCTGATACCCTGGATCATGGAGACCAAGATCCTGAATAAATTCCCGAAGGCCAACAGATTGGGTAGAATTCCAAGGCAAACCACCATCTTTTTCCCCCGCACAAAGGGTAACATTAAAATCCCCCAAGACAACAAAGGGGAGAGTGAAGCCATCACAAATTTCACGCAGCTGGGCTAATTGAGTAGCTCTAAGCGAAATAGTGCAGCTAATATAAACGCAGACCACAATATAGGAGAAGTCATTCTCATTAATTTGAATGCAGATACAAAAATTGGAATGGAAAAACACCGAAGCACGAACTTCAGGGGACCAAGAAACAACTAAGCCTCCGGATGCATCAATCGCATCAACGAAGAAACAACGCGAAAAATCAAAACCTAGGCCCCGCATACGGCGAGTGACTACCTTCCGGCTCGATCGTGTCTCAGAGAAAAACACGAGATCCGGTTTATTAGATTTAATTAAACCTACAGCAGTTTGGAATGTGAGGGACGGTCCAATCCCTCTCACATTCCAGGCAAGAAGCCTCATTTAATTGGGTGGGGCCATTCCCGGCTGGCTACCTCCACCGATTCAAGATCATCCTGGTCCTCCACGAACAATTTCTTGGGAGACGGGGACTCAGCAATATCTCCCTCGACATCCTCAATTCGACGTTTCTTCCCCTCATTACTAGGGTCAGAAAAATTAGATCCATACTCATTGATCTCATTAACAATACTGCTATTCTCCTGGCTCACTTCTTTTCCTTTCATTAAAGGTTCCACTGCCGAAGGGCCTTTTGTTTTATGTTCATGGGCCGACTCATCCAACGACAGCCCATGTTCAATTGCTTTCACAGCCTGGCGCACGCGGGTCGACTGCGCCACCCGGGAAGTAATTTCTTCCACCTTCGGCTCCCTTCGGCGGACCTCAAATTGATTCTCTTCCTCATCCGAAGCAGACACAGCCGAGCCCAGGCCTTCTTTAGTAGCCGCCATCAGTTTCGGGCCCAAGAATTTAGTTTGCAGGGCTAATGCTTCGGGCGGGGTCGGTCTTTTCTCAATCAGGCCCACATCCGCCTGGTCCGCCATATCGGGCCGAGCCGTCTCTTTTTTGGTGGACTTGGCTGACCTCACCAGGCGGGCCCGCTGCGAACGGGGTTGAGACGCCTTCTCTCCTTTGTTTCCCCCTTTTCTGGTTCCCCCCTTCTTTTTTTGCAGATGTGAGGGACGCAGAGGGGCAGGGGCATCACCACCACCATTCATCTCCTCAGCCATCTTCGCATCTCGTATCGCGGCATTCAAAGGGCACTCCGCAATTGAGTTGGGGACGGCTTGCACGAAAAACTCATCCTCTGATTCATCCGCAAGTAAAAGCCGTCTCCGTCGAGAGCTGGAGAG